CCTGGAAAAGGATTTTCGAATCCGTGAAAGAGAAAAAGAGTATTCGCAATACAAAAATTGTACGTATTTTAGTCGGTAATACAGGACTTTAGGATCCCCAAAAGATAATTTTGTGAAAGACATTTACTATTATAGTTACAAATTTTCGAAGTTAAAGATTTAAAATCTTATATTAATTTTTTTTCATAAATAATCTTAAGTAAATATCTAATAAAAATTAAATAAAAAGCAAGATACTTTATTATCTATTTGCACTATCGACTTATAATACGTCAGAGTTTTTTCTTTTTCATTTTCAGTTCTCAAAATTTATACATTCTTGGTCGTAATATTAATCGAGAGTTCGTAAATTATACCTTTGTAATTTTATCTTGGTATAATTAGTGTATGCATGACATTTATATATATAGTTCTCTTATAAACACTTACAATTACTACGTATTCTTGGATAATTTTCTTTTAACATTAATAGCATTAATTCATAATACTGAGGCATTAATGATTAATCACAACACAATGACTTATAATTTTATTCATATAAATATCACAAGAGATTAGTTTGCCGGTATATGCGCACATATGATATCTCGGTTATGCTCATTTAATCACTTATGATTAAATATATATTAATTCTGATTGATTATATAATAACATCATCAAAAATATGTTACATACAGTCAAAAGTGATTCGCTTTAACTTCCAAAATTCTTTTGCGACATAAATCGCATATCACACTTTTCGCAAGTAAGAAAAGATTGACTTATTGAACACGTTGTGCGTATAATAATAGTGATAGAAAAGGTCAGCAGTTTATCGCAGGATGAAAGACACTTTTAAGTGATATTTAAATTCGTCGATGAACGTCATCACTCAAGAACAAGCAACATTGGAAGACGATAGTGATATAATTATATAAAAAGACTTTTATAAAATAATTTATAAGAGATGAAATTTTAAAAGATAGTTCGTTAAAAAAAAAGAAATAATATAGAGTTGTCTGTAGAAGATTCAACATTATTGTACAAATATAATCGAAAGTTCATTGGTAGATCCATTGAAATAATTTCATTCAATAATAAGCAACGGTGGAAGATATTCAATATGTGCAGAATATAACAAGAAATCTTGTGAATGTCAATATATAATTTCCTGTAAAACACGCGGGATAGCCATTTTATAGAAATATATTTATCGATAAGCTTAACATGTTCGTTGCGCTATTATTAAAATATATGTGAATTTAGAGTCACACACAAAAAACAAGCTTTCTACAATATTAAACTTGAAACCCGAGCCAACATTAGGCAGATCTACAAAATATATTGTAATCGAAACAATTTAACTATATATTATTAAAAAATTAATAAAAATATTCAAACACAATAAAATAAAAAATGTAGATCTAATATATATAAGGTGTTTACTTAAATCATACTAAAATATTTCCTGAAAATTTATAGATTTTCTAAGTACTCTTATTCAAAAGATAAATTAGTTTTCAAAATGCAACTTTAAAATAAATTTTTAAGAGTGCAAGCAACGCGAACAAGCTATATAGTAAATTAGTAGAAATTTCAGGAGACTATATCCTTTTCCACAGTTGGAGATAAATATAGAGATTAAAATGAAATCTATAAAATAAGTACGAAGACTCAGGTAGCACATATTGATACATTTTGTTTCCTAAAAATATCTAATATTTTATAACTGTTTAAAGATATAAAACCAATATGTGCTACTTGGAGAATACTTACTATATGGTATTGTATCTTAGTATCAGTGAGTTTTATACGATCGTTTGCTGTATATTGTCTTCTACTAAATCATGGTTTTTTAAAATAAAAACTTGCGAGTGTACACATGAAAATGTACGTAAAAATGCAGATGTGTATGCAATATTTATCACTAATTAATTGTCAACATTTTACATTACTAAAAAAATAAACAAGTTTTTTTAACAGACAGAATTTTAATTTAACAGTAAAATTTTCCTAAATACTAATTCCATAAAAATGTTTGATTTTTAAGGATAAAAAAGAAATCCCCCGAAAATTTCAGAGCTTTCAGATTTTTCCAAATATAGTAAACACCCTACAGTATATTATTATAAGTAATATTTATTATTATAAGTAACAGAAAATAATTCAGAATACTTCATTACTGTACATCCTCACAAATATTATTTATAATGAGATTCGTGTAATACTGATATGTGTTGATTATTGTCAGTTAAATAATTAAATTAAGCATTCCTTCACGATTTTTATTCGAAAATTTCTCTTCGATTAATTTTTTCCTTCGATTATATCTTATTCCACTCAAACTTTCTGCTAAAAACTTTAAACAAGTGAACATAAAATTAATTAATTAACGAAATTATTTTCTGATGTTCTAATCCTCTGCAACGAACATGCTAATCGAAAAAGTTTATGACAAGATTAACATTGATTTCAGAAATTGAAGGCGTCGGTTTCATAATATGCTTTTTTTCTTTGATTTCGGCAGACAGAATGTAGTTTAGAAAACTACATGTACCGACACTGTCAGCAATAGCAGGAACTCCGGGGTGGTGGAGTATCGCGCTCGTGACATCTTAAAACTTTTTGATGTGGTAACGGCGACTTGTCTATCGTAGCCTCCATTCTGCGCATTACACGATCTAGTAAAATTTCCACGGCGCGTTCAACATTTTGCCCGGTTGCAGCACTTGTCTCCAGATAAACCAAGCTGAAAAAAGTACAACACAATAGAGAGAAACTCAAAAATAAATGTATTTCTTTTTTAAATAACGTTACATACGTTTTACTATTTCTGACTTGACTTACCCGTGTCTTTCAGCAAGATCCCGCGCTTTATGTTCGCTGACGACGCGTTTGTCCTCAAGATCAGATTTATTGCCACAGAGAATTATGTCTGGATCATCACAATATGCGTGTGTCTACACGTATATATACATAAAAATATGATACATTAATTCAATAAACACAAAACTTTCCCGAGAAAATTGTACTAGATTACAGGAAAATTTTAAGCAAGACAAGACATCTATTATTGAATTCTGCAATTACAGAACTCAAGCACGTTTCAGATTAAAAATTAATTTCTTATAGTTCAAGAATTAAATTTCTTGTACTTATTAATAAAACTTTTGTCACAGATGTTTAATTTTTAAATTAAACGATAACTTATGAGTATAAAAAAATATATATATATACATATAGGTACCATATTCTAAATATACATTTTAAACATATATACGTGCTATTAGGGTAATAATTCATTTGTGCGTTTTTGTCGTACGACAAATTTTTCAAGCCTGTTGATTGGCTATAGGATAGAGAGATCCGAGAATCTCTCTGTTGTGTACATATTCGTTGTACGACAAAAACGCACAAATGAAATAGCACCCTTATAATCAGCAAACAGTATCGATACTACCTAATTAAAGCATTACGGAAGAATTTCCATGCATTTAATTTTTAAAATGTTGTATCAAGTAATTATAGAGAAGTATAATCATTCAAAATATCATAGACAAGAAAGTAACATATTCTTTAAAAACTTTTAGATATTATTTCATAATTTAGTTCGTTTTAATTACCATTTTTATTTATTATTATAATAATTATATCATTCTTTATTGTTATAAAAATTGTTTATTTATTATTATTATAAATTTATCTTATACTGTAAAAATCTATATAATTTTATATCCTTGAATTTTCATATTTCTATATTTCTGCATTAGATATGTCAAATAAATAAATAAACGCAAGATTGCATTATCTAATTTTTTCAATTAGGTATACCGAATTACGCTAGTTCCTTGGCTAGTTCTTTAAGGACTTTTAACAATTTTTGTGAAAGAATTTTATTCTAATGCAGGATTTTAACAATAAATATTGTATTTGTTTAAACAAATTGTACATTAGTAATAATAGTCAATTCTATCTACATGCTTTATTTTCATGCAGCAAATAATTATTAAATTAAATATAACTGCATTTCGGTATCACATAAATGTTACAATGACTATTAACACAAATATTATAATACATGCAGTTGACGGTAATTTAAAAAATAGAAGAATCGTTAAATTAAAACACATGCATCAATGTTCTAACGTGCGACATTTATAAATAGTAATGCTAATAAATGACAAATACCCGAAGCTGCTCCAGCCAGTTTCTAACTTCAAGAAACGACGATTCATTGGTCAGGTCAAAAATTAGTAGGAAACCCATAGAATCCCGATAAAAGGCTGTGGTTAGACTTCTGAACCTGGATATTAACAATGTTAAGCTACTTGTGTGAAAAGTTAGATTCTTAATCCTCTGTTTGCACATGCTGGATGCAATATCATACATACTGATTAGAACACCTATAACTCATACACCTATACATTTTTTCTTTGAATCTTTCAGATCTTTTGAATAGTTTATATTATGCATTTAGCAAGCTTTTACAGTGACACTGTGATATCACAATGCAGAATGTAATGCAGAATTGCATCCTTATATTGGGTGCCTTCCAACAAGCGACTTAGTATAACACAGTGATCATCTCATCCTTGTTTAACATTGGCGAACAACAAGGATATAATGATGCACTGTATCACACAATGTCAAGTGTGGAAGGTACCCATTATCTCTATCATGAATAATATAACATAAATATGCAAGTATATCTCACTCGCTTGCTAAAATTTAATACTGATTTGTCAAAATGCAACAAATGCATGTTAACTATTGTACATTGGTTTTCCTGAAAACTGTACTCCCAGATTTCTCTGGTATATTTACCTTTCTTGACCGGCTGTGTCCCAAAGCTGCAAGTGCACTCGTTGGCTTCTACCATTTTCCGTTTGATATATCTATAATAATAAATAATCTTTACTTCTCGATGCATGAAATAGCTCTTGTATCATTTGTCATTGCTAAAACCTAATATACATAATACATAAGCCTGACTAATCCACATCCAATACATTTTACTTAGCTTGCGTGGGATCATTATTCAAAGTCTATCATCGCAGAAATGTTTTCACAAATACGCAAGAGGTTTTCTCAAAAATATGCAGACTTTAAACGATCAACGCTACCATCCAAAAAAATTGTGTCATTCTCTTACCACTCGCTTCTCCTTGAAATCGATCCCAACAGTGGATATGAATCTGGAGTTGAATGTGCCGTCTGTGTATTGATAGAGAAAGCTCGTTTTGCCGACGCCGGAGTTCCCGAGCGCCAGGAACTTCACCAAATAGTCGTAATTCATTCTGTTGTGAACGCGTCGGTCGAGGATTCCGTGATGGTCCCAGAGGAGGTTGTCAATAAGACGTGTCGAATAAACGATCCAGGTGGAGGGTGAATGATTGTTGCTGTCGAACGTCTCGTCTCTTGTCACCGACGTCAACTATCGAAGGCGCGCAGCTATCAACGTGGACACCTGTTGCCAATGTTGCCTACGTATGCCACTTTCGAAAGGTCCGCGCCCCTGTTGACGCGGCACGCCGTCGAACTACGTTGTGGACCAGGTAATCGTCTTCCAAAAATTAATCACACGTGTGCCCAAGCTCGTGTCTCCAGTCAAATCTGACGCGTATCAAATCAGCGCACCCCCATAATAAACCGCGATCAGACCACCCCGCGGTAGACCGTGACGTCCGTGACGGTAGATGACAAACAGACCCGCGCAGAAAGCAATGGGCGCATTCAGCAGCTAAATAGTTGAGTGAATACTCGCTGTTATTGGTGTATTCTTTTAGCTCATCCAATCAGAATTTTAGATTTAGAAGAATACACCAATAACAATAAGCGCTCACTCAACTGTTGAGTCCGCTGAATGCGCCCAATGGCTGCGTATACTCTGCGTATACACGTATACTCTGTATACATGCAACAAGATTTAACAATGGCTGCGTTCAGTAGACTCAACAGTTTTGCAACCGTTTTGTGATTCTTCGCTGAGATAGGACTATTCCTTTAAATTTAAAAGTATAATCCAATCAGCGCGACGAATCATAAAACGGTTGCAAAACTGCTAAGTCTGCTAAGGCTGCTAACGCAGCCAATGGTCGCGTTCGGCAGACTCAATTGTCCGTGAGCGCTCGCTGCTTTTGGATGATCTAGAAGAATACACCAATAGCAGCGAGTACTCACGGATCTTCAGCACGGATCTACTGAACGCGACCAATGGCGCTGCTAGTGCATGGCGCATAGAGTAGAGTTCTAAGGTGCGTTCCGTATCGCGCATGATGTGCATGATGCATCCATTGTCCTTGTTTAACATTTGGTGAGCAACAAGGATAAACGATGCATTATGCGCATCATGCGAGAAACGGAACGCACCCCTAGATATCAGAGAGGCGACAGGTAAGAAAATGGTTTGATTGGCTCACTAAGGGCCACTTTCACCATCGTCGGTTTAGGCTGGATCCTCATACAGACACTGGCGCTTTGACACAGAGCACTGAATTGGGGAAAAGCCGATTGTGGCGGTAAAATTTACCCCCATCACCCGTTTTTCACCAATCAGAGCTTTGTGTTGAAGCGCTGTTGCCCGTATGAGGATCCAGGCTTACTTATAGCGTTTTTGGCCCGATCGGGTTTGCACCAACCTTGGTTGGATTAATCTTTCCTATTGGTTGACGTCACCTGCTCTACCAATAGGAGAGCACAAAACGGCATTAATCCAACCCAGGTTGGTGCAAACCTGGCCGGGCCGAAAACGCTATTAACCAGCCTAGTAAGGGCCTGCGTACAATAGAACAAATATTAGGAACAGGAATAAATATTAAGATTTCAACCTATCAGATACCAATTACATCGGAATACGCGGTTTCTGGTAGGTAGAAATCTTAATATTTATTCCTATTCTTAATATTTCTTCCATTGGGGTGGCACCCAGTTGGACACGGCTCAATTGGACACGAGCCACTCACAGCGCTTGAGACTACAAAGCTCCTAAGCACCGGTCGCTGTGATTGGTGGTGTTCAATCGAGCCGTGGTCAATCGGGATCACCCCGTTTCCTCTAGAGACCCTCTAATCAGAAGGTTTGTTCGCGTCGCAAGTTCCAAATTAACCCAGAGAGCACTTGGATCACCGGCAAGATGGCGGTTGGAGCAATTGGATTCATGTGCCCCAATGCTCGGCGACACGAACG